CGAGGACACCTACCTCACAGGGCTGTTGAAAGAGTAAGGAGATTGTCCGCCTTCAGGACGTTGGTACAGAGCCTGGTGCCCAGCCAGCTCTCTATGACCTCTAACCTGAGCGTTATTACTCCTGAAGCATCAGAGGCGTAGTTTGCCTTTGAGGAAACATGAAACCCTACATAGACTGGCCATATCATCTAGGGGAGAGAGATGAACCCAGCTGGGGGCCCAAATAGTCTGAAAAAACCTGCTGAGCCTCACCAGGCAACAGGACAGGCTCTGAGGCCTTCTCGGTCCACTTGGCAATGGTCCATTTGGGAAAATCATCCCTATGGCCCTGTGAGTCCCTCGCCGGCCTGCACATCCATGCAGAGGTGGCCAGCTGAGTGGGGTCTGTGGCATGGTGTAGGACACCAGCATTTGCCATCCATGTGTGAGGGTTGAAGTAGTGAGCATGTTATAATGGGTCCCTTGCCCTCCATCCCGAGGCCTGATGCCCGCGTGGCCCTGGGCGATGCCATCCCACTATTTTGAGCCATTGGAAGTTACACAGAGAGCGAGTTTTCTGCAGTTTGTCTTCCAGCCAACACTAGCATGGCCCCTCCTTGGCCTCCCTGGAAAGCCATCAGAAACCTCACCCGGACGAGCTCGTTGGATTAGAAAATGCTCGAGAGTGTGTAGCCTTCACCCTGAGCCGGACTCTGGTCTGAGGGCGCCCACACAGTCACTTGTTTTATCCTCATGATGGCCTCCTGGCCATTACCCCCTTTACAGAGAAGGAGATGGGTTCAGGGCTGGGGAAAGTTGGGGTTTGACCCAGGGCATCTGCTCTTTACTGCTCTGTTGGAGGAGGCTGAGACCAAGTGTGGCCTAGCAGTGGGCCCAGATTCCTTTCCCGAGGGAACAAATGGATGATGGGCAACCACGAAGGAATTTCCTAGAACAAATCACAGAGACTGGTCCCTGGTCATTCACAGCTCCAGTTTGTGTTGCCAAAGCCCCAGGCACTGTGAGAAGGGCTTGGGAACTTCACTCACCACCTGCTCCCTGGCCCCTGGAGGAAGCCTACTGAGTGGCTTCCAGTTTTCCCACCCCGGGAACTTCAGAGGGAGGTGGGTGGTGCCCCAGATGCTCATGGGGTCCTTAGTCCCAGCCCCGAGAGCAGAGTGTGGTCAAAGGCTCCGAACCCCACAGCCTGGGTTCAGCTGTCACTATGTGACCTCAGGCTGAACCCCACAGCCTGGGTTCAGCTCTCACTATGTGACCTCAGTGGTCAAAGGCTCCGAGCCCCACAGCCTGGGTTCAGCTCTCACTATGTGACGCTGAACCTCCCTGAGCCTCAATTCCCTCTTGTGCAAAAGGATTGAATTCTGGCACGTCACTCCTGGGGTGTGGGAAGGCTGGAGTGATCTGGACTGTGTATTGGTAAGAACTCGGTAAACACAGCTATGCCCCAAACACTGACTTTTACTCATTTGAGAAATGGCTTAAAAGGGGCATCTCAGCAGCTTTCCAGTGCACAGGCATCGGGGCTGGGTGGAGGGCGGACAGTGTTCAGAGTTGTGTGAGGGAAGCGACGGGGTTAGATAGGGAGCCAGTGCGGTGTTGGCTCACACGCTAATGTGACGTGTCGTAGCTCTGGGCTGGGTTTTTTTTTAAGAATTCTGTAGACTCTCAGTGCATAGGAGGAGCCCGGGGCGGCTCCCTTTTCCCTTTACGTGGTGCACGCCTTCCTCCCTTCCTCCCTCCCTGACTGCGTTCTTTCGGCCCCAAGCGGATTCAGGAAAGGAGAGAGGAGTGTTCCCCCGGCCCTCAAAAGGGGCCCCTCCTGACAGTGTTTCTTGTCCGTCTTCAGGGGGAACTGGATTGGAGAGGCCCCCTACAGAACTGGCCGGCCCTGCTCTGAGTGTCCGCCCAGCTACGGAGGTGGCTGCAAGAACAACTTGTGTTACCGAGGTAGGAAATGACTTCAAAACCATGAGTCACAGAACAGCTTACGTAAAACGGGAAAAGTGAACAATAGAGTCCAAGACACCCCCTCCCTGGCCATGTTGCAGTCACCCTCAGCATGCCTCTCATTTCTCCCTCCCTCCCTCTGCCTTGTGCATGTGAACACTTGGGGTTCAGCCCCCAGCTCCCTGGGGACCCACGGGATGCCCTGGTATGTCCCCGCAGTGAGCATATCACATGGGCAGACAGCTGACACATCCCTGCCCATTTGGTGGTGCTCACAGTTTGGTATAAAACAGGCAACAAACGAGGAATTAAAAACAACCAACTAAACTGTGACGTTCCAGACAAGCTCCAGGCTAGGAAGGGTTGTCCCTCAGGGATATCCTTCCTGTCCTTGTCCCCCTACCGCTACCCGCCCACATTCCCATCTTGCTCATCCTTCGCCGATTTGTCATAAACGTTTGCGTTTTCCTTCTCACATCTCAGGCAAAACTAGAACTTTCGAAGGCTGTGTAATTTCCAGCTCTTCCACTATTTGTTTATTGTCATCACTCAGAATGTTTCCGCTCACCTCGCTGCTAAAAATAATACACGTTTTTAGTGCCTAACGCCTTTCTCACATTTTGGAATATTTTCTTGGGCTCTGTCCCAGAAGGGGCATGGCTGGGCCAAAGGGGCTGACCATGTTTTTGTGGTTAAGATCGTTTTTTTCACTTGGTTCCATCCATAGGCCTTGTGATGGCTCAGAGGGTCCTTTCAGGAGGGCTGGGCGCATAGGAGAGAGTGACCCTCTGTGCCGGGCCCACCCTGCCAGAGCAGACATGGGGTCGGTCCTGTGGGCTCTAGAGTGAAGAAGCAGGTGGGCTAAGGCAGCGGTCCCAGACCTGCTCAGGGACCTGAGCACTCTGCTGTCTTTGGTTAGCTGTTCACTGCTAATTCTGCCCGTTGGGGAAGGCAAGGAGGGGTCAGGAGAAGCAAGGATCTGGACTTCTGACAAAGCAGGTTTGAGGCGGGCACTCAAACCATTCATCACTCTACCCGTCAGCAAAATGGGTGTGATAACACCAGTCTTTCGTAACGTATCCCAGGCTAAATGAGAGTCCATGCATTTGGCATGAGTATGTTGAGCACCTGCTGTGTGCCAGAATGTTGCTGGGTATTATCAGTGGGGACAACTATGGGGACCAGACAGTTATGGACCTGCCATCGTGAAACTGAGGTCCAGTGGGGTCACGGCCACAAGGAGTGGTGTGCGTCTTCCAAGGGAAGTAACTGGATGCCACAGAGCTTATAGTAGGTACATCGGTTGTTGTCTAGCAGGGTTAGGGAGGGCTTCCCTAAGCGAGTGCCCTTGAGAAGGAAGATGTAGCCTAGTAATGAGAGAAAGGAAAGGTGTTTCTGGCAGAGGGAACAGCACGTGCAAAGGCCTGGAGGCATGAGGCAGCATGGTCATGAGAGGAAGTCTGAAGCCCCTCGCACATGTGCAGACCCCGCAGTGCCTGCCATGCGGTAGGGCCACCGTAAGTGTTTGTTAAATGGAATTTCTCCCCTTTCTCCGTTGCCTCTCAGATCACACCTCTTCACTGTCTTCTAGGGCTCCTCACGCCCATCTTTAGTGAATTGTTCCCCATAGTTCCCCTGTGATTCCTGGATTTGAGGGACAGCATGGTTTTTAGAGGCTAGCACATAGCAACCCCACCACATTTCAGCTGTGGGACCCTGGGAGAGTTACTTCATTTCTCTGAGCCTCGGTCTTCTCATCTGAAAACAGAGCCGGCACACCTGCTTTAAGAATAGCAACCCCACCACATTTCAGCTGTGGGGACCCTGGGAGGGTCACTTCATCTCTCTGAGCCTCGGTCTTCTCATCTGAAAACAGAGCAATTGTGTCAACTCCTGTGGGTGTGGGGGGCCTAAGAAGAATGCAGGTCGAGGTTAAGATCTTGTCCCCATATTCCTATTTAGGCAGGTCCTGCGGCTGCTGTCCAGTCACCCAGAGGGGTCGAGTCCCCATCAGATGTGGGGACCTTGAGGGAAAGATGCCCATTGGGTTTCCTCCCGCATCTCCCATCGTGAGGGGTCTCTGTGTGCACTGGGCCGGAACTGTCTAGATTAAGGACAGGTGGAGCGGGGTCGTCTCCACCGTTACTGGCTGTGTGTACTCAGGCATACCGCTTGCCTTCTTTGAGCCTCAGTTTCCCCATTGGTAACAGTGATAACATGGTCTTTCTGTAGAAGATTTGCTGGGAAGATATGGTGAGGGGGATGTGAGTTTCTAGCATAGCCAGCTGCACATAGTCAGTGCTTTAAAAACACAGATGTTTAGCTCTTTGGAGAAGTACGAGTAGGGCTGCCTGCATGGGGTCCTTTATCACCTGGCAGGCAATGTTGGCCTTCTCTCATCCATCTCTGGAACCCGGTAGATGCTTTCTCCTCCTTGGAAACACAGCTCTGATATCACACCTCCTCCAGGAGCCTTCCCTGACTTCATAATGTACCTGCCTCCCTGTTCTTACCGCACCCAGACTCTCCTTGAAGCTCGATCACCTATAGTTAAACTGCTGGTTCACTCCAGGGCCTCCAAGGACATTGGAGCAGGTGTGTTCTGCATGTCGTCTGCATGCACATACCCCCCATACCCACAGAGGGTTATTTTCCAAGAGCAAATACACACAAAGATACCTTAGATGTTGGTTTACTCACCCAACGAAACCTCTGTAGTTGTTTCTTTATTTTTGTTGGAAAATATCCAACTTCATTTGGTGGGCGTTCCAATTTTCTTAGCTAACCTTGCGGAAAATCTCCTGTAAAGTGGCTTATCTGCATAAGCTCCTTAATCAGCATTTACTGAGGAGGCCTGGCGGGGCCTTGACCTATAATGGAGATGGAGCGGGGATAAGGATAGACCATAAGAGAGGTTTTCATCCCTCAGGCCTTGCCAGATGTGGCAATAAAGGGCATGGGCTTCTGGGAAAGGTGGTTTGACTGTCAGCTATGTGAGCTTGGGCAGGTCGCTTAGCCTTTCTGGGCCTCAGTTTGCCTGTCCGTGAGATGGGGCTTTATCATGCCTCCTAGGACGATGAGAAAATGTCACAAGAGTGTGCCGGGGAAGAGCCAAATGGCAGGCAGTCATTTGGTCCACATTCAGTAAACATTATCTGTGAATTTGTCACCACTTATGGAACCAAGTGAGAATCTGCAGACTGGCATAAGCAATGCTGTGTGTCCCAAGACCCCTGATCCAGGGCAGCACAGTGTTCACGGTAGCCTTGCCGTGAACTCGGCGTGGAATTTCCCCAGGCCTGCACCGGTCCACACAGGGGCACTTAATTAGGATGTGCTCAAATACAGCCAGTTTTCTGGGCAAGCATTCCACTTTTCATGTGTGTGTCTGAGGGCAAAAACTGTCTGCCCATTTTCTTAAATAGTGAGCCCTCAAATGCTTTAGACTGCTTTACCAAACTATATTCGGCTAAATAAAGCCACGATTATGAGGTATAAAAATCCTAAAGGCCAGTGGAAGAAAACCCAGCTTATTCCAGAGACAGCTCTGGCTTTCAATGAAGGGCAAACCTGAGTGGCCACATTGACGGGAAGGCCAACCAGAGACGGCTGATTGTGCCAAACGGTGTTGCAAACTCGGTGTCTTTGTAAAGATTTCACCTAATAGTTTTTGGCTACAAATGATTCTTTTAGAATTCCCTTCCCGAATGTCTTTAAACTTCACTGGGAATATCTTTCGTTCAAAGGAATTCAAAGACAGAGTTCTTTGAGGTTTCACTTATCCTTTATTTAGCGAATTTTGTTGAGCAACTACTGTGTGCTGGGAGCTGAGTGTCCAGTGGGCTGTGAAACAGGCCAGTTCCTGGCCTCGGGGATTTACAGCGGGTGGGAAAGGCAGGTGCTGGTGAAATCACAGCTGCGAGCGAGCTGCCCAGGAGCAGCCCTGGATGTCCGTGAGCTCCGACAGAATGGACTTGAGACTCAAGCTTGCAGTTCATCTCCCGGCTTAAATCTCGTCCATTCTCCCCTCGGCACTGGGTTCACCTAGGATGCTGATTGTATGGGAGGAAACTGGCTGGTAAAATAGATGCAGAATAGTCCAGCCTTGAAAAGCATTGGAGAACCACTCCTCTGTCCTTCATGTGGATGTTTGTCCGGTATAGACACGAAACCCTTGGTCCGCCCTTCGGAGAAGGGAGGTCATCACTCTTAAGGAGAAGTGGGACTGAGGCTGAGGGACCAACGAACACTTACTTGATCACCTGATGGGAACTGAAGTTTAATCCAGTGACACAAAGCCTGCGGGTTGCTTCCTTTCTCCTCCTAAAATCGTTCTTACCCAAATCTATCTATCGTCTCTTTCATTGGGGGAGGGGGGGAGGGGCGCTTAGAGGGCAGGGTTTTCCAACTCTGATCCACATGAGGGGGAGGGGGGTACAAGCTATAAAGGTGCAACAGGGCCCCCAGCAGAGATGTGCATCAATTCATCTTTGAGAAGGCCACTCAAGCAGGTGAAAATCTCAATTCTTTGCTTTGCTTTGGCCGAAATTTATTGTCTGGTATCCTGGTGGCCTGATTACAGATTCCGGTCAGCAGTTAATAATTGTCTTTCATGATGAAAACTGGAATATAAATAAACTGATGCTTAGATTAAATGAATTTTATTTTCAGTTAATTAAAATGTCTTGAAATATGGGGGTCATGAACCTGGTTGGAGAAATAATATTTGGGTAGGGAAAAATTGGGACCCAACCAACTAACTTTTTTTTAAACCAGGAGTTGGGTCTCTGGCTTGTTTTACGTGATAGGTCCAGTGTTATTGGGCAGCAAAACTTCAGCGCAGGAAAGGAGCTGAGTTTCATTAAGTGATCTTGACTCGTGGGTGGGGAAGGGTATAGGACATGCTGGTGATGAGGAGCAGTGGGGCCCAAGACCATCGATGTGGGTTTTTATATACCACGATGTGCTTGTAAATGAGGAAGACCCCTCCCCTAATGAAAACCTAGGGCCAGAGGGACCTCAGGGGAAGCAGCTGTTTTGGGGTCAGAGGATGTGCTTCCTTCAGCAAATGATGGTGCAGGAGGAGGTGGGACAAGAAACCATTATTATAATCCAGGTGTGGGCACTGGGGCCTTCTCACCTCTGGTCGGCCCAGCTGCTCTTGAGTCCAAAGCACACACAGCGAGCGGAGCCTGTCCAACTCACCTTGGCAGGTAGAATTCCACGTGGCCAGGTCTGTTCTGAAATGCAACTTTCTCTTTGCCGCTGAAATGAATCTTTGTCAAGTGAAACCTCAAACAAGTTGAGTTTCCAAATTTTTTTTTCCTAAGTGTATTTTTGTTGAATCCCAGCATGTATTTTTTCCCTCTGTCTCCACTATGAAGAAGAGACTTACGACCAAAAACCTGAAACAGACGAGATGAACGAGGTCGAGACAGCTCCTGTTGCTGAAGAGAAACACGTCTGGGTCCAGCCGAGGGTGATCAGACCCGCCAAGCCCAAGAAATCGTCCGCCTTGAATTACATGAGTGAGTCGGGCTCCCTCTCTGCCTTCTGTCACCCTGCGAGTCACTTGTGAAAGGGGGCAGTTTTCTTTGGGGTGGGTGGAGGAGGGGAGCCGGTGGGTTGAGAGATCTCCAAGTCCACAGACAGCAGGAGCTGGGTGGGGTGCAGCTTGCAAAAGCACGACCCTAAGACATTTCTAAAAAAATGATATTTTTAAGTCATTTCAAAAGCGAGCTTGATGGGAACTGTGCTTGAGTGGCACTTTCTCCCCAAGCAGATATTTTAAGGTTAGACCTTGTCCTTTCAAAGGGGACCTGGGCAGAAATTGGGTTCCTCTTGAGAATGCCGGTCCCCCTAAGGGAGAGCGCAGAGCGTGCAGGGCGGGAGGCCAGCGCTGGGGGCTCCGATCGGTCCTTCTTTACCAGGTACTGGCTCTGTGGCTCAGACCTTCACTCCACTCCCTGAGACTTGATTTACTCATCCATAAAATGGAGCAATAATGTCCATGCGGGTTGTTGTGAGGATTATCTGTGGTAATGTGGGCCAGCCATGTCAGCAGAAATCTCCCTGTACTTCAAGGTCATCATCAAGTTGCCTCCAACAGCCCCCTTGGGTGGGAGGTTGAATGTTTTCCCTGAGACTTCTAGAAGTCCCTAGAATGCTCTCATGCTCACCTCTGTCTTGACTTCTCCTCCCCTGGTCCCTAGTGCCCCTCACCTCCCCAGGCATCTTTCTGCCCTGTCTGCCTGGGCTAGAACTCAGCATTTTAACCTGCTATGACGCTGCTTTTGGGCACCTGGGTAGGTGGCGCCTTTGCTGAAGGTGTGGAGCCCACGAAGGGCACTTTCTGACAGACAGGGCAGCAGGCACGGGCTCTCTTGCCCACAGTTCTGATTCCTCTGATTTTAAGCCTCCAATAGCATAAAACCAGACTTATCCCGAGCAGGGCCCCCCCTCGTGCCCATCTTTCTCAGAAACCCTCCCCTCTCTTTGACTATTCCCTCCCCCTCCTCCACCAGTCTCTCTATCCTCTTGGGCCTTTAAGTGTCTTCTCCCCAGACTTTCTGCCCATTTAACCACCCTAAAGCATCATTGACCAGGAAATATGCTGATGCTCTTGTCAGTCCAGAAGTTTAAACTATTCCATTTTTTTTTAAATAATGTCAAATTAAAAAATAACGTATGTCTTTTTATCCAGCTATAACTCTGTCTACTTCAAGATTCTGATCTGTCCCTATAAAATAAACAAAAAAGAAAGCTTGGCAAAGTCATCTTAGCTGTGAGAGAGATGACACAGGTGGGAATGGCTGGCTCCTCACCCGCCAGGCTGGGTAAGGGCTGTAAGTTCCACCCTCCAGAGCTCTGAAGAGCTACAGGACACTTGTGTGCCAGGCTCTCTTCCAAGGCTACATTTACTTTCTCATTTAACGCTCACAGAAACACTACCCACCATACTCATCCCCACGATTTACGGGTGGAAATTGAATCTCAGAGAGGGGAAGAAACATGTTCAATGCCACATGACTACTATAAAGTGGTGGGTCTTAGATTCGAACCTTAACCATTGAAGCCTGCAGCCCTTGGGTAATGCTTCTACTGTCGTTATGGCATGGATTCCAGAATGTTCCAGAAAGTTCCTTGGAGCAGAGGGGTAGGGTCTTCTAACTCAGACTCATTCTCTCGATTCTTGCTGTGATATATATTTCTGCATTTCTCTCCTAGCCCAAGTTGTGAGGTGCGACACCAAGCTGAAAGACAAGTGCAAAGGGTCTACTTGCAACAGGTAAAGTCTGGATCCCCTCTCACCGCTCACTCCCTACAGCCCTTTGCAGCACCTGCTGTGGGTTATGGGTCACATTATGATCAGTCAGTTGATGACCATTTAAACCAAGCCAGGTGGAAACTCACAGAAAAATGGCATTCTCTACTTTTAGCACCAAAGGTGTGCCATGTTGAACGGGACATAACTCAGCTTGCTTCCTGTCATGGATTAGAGGGACCACAACATCCCAGAGTTCCCTCTGACTGCCACCATTCGTTAAGAGCTCGGCACACAAAGGGCAACCTAGACGCGAGTCTCTCAACCTTGGCACTGCTGACAGTTAGGGCCAGATAATCCTTGGTGGTGGGGGCTGTTCTGTGCACTGTCAAGCAGCATCGCTGGCCTGGAGCCACCAGATGCCAGGAGCACCTCCTCCCTAGCTGTGATCACCAGAAATGTCTCCAGAAATTGCCAATTGTTCCCTGAGGGGTAAGATCACCCCTAAATGATAACCTTTGGCCTAGAGGGTTGGCCCAAACTCTGGGTCTCCTCCTGCCTGGATGTATATTAGTAGGAAGGAGGCATCCAAACTACAGATGCTCTGGGTTATTAGTTCAAAAGGAATTTCCAAACTGTAGACATGCCAGATGTGCATGTGACAGATGTGCTATAAACATTAGACAATCTTGACTAATGCTTTTGCGCAACTGGGGACTCCATTCCACCTCCCTGTGTGAGGGGGTCGCAGGGTGGCCCAGAGTTCTGTTCAGGGCACATGTGAGCCAACGGTGCCTTGGCTATTGACAGATCCAGCAAGCCTGCTGCTCAATCTGAGTAGGCCTGCTTCCTGGTGGCCACTCCCGGAGGAGAAGCTGCCAGTGTAGCCTCAGGTAGTTGAATGAACTCATCTAGCTGCTGGAGTCATTGAGTATTGTCCGCTTGGATGTCGAAGAATGTCTGCCAAGAAGAATGAGTTTGGTTTTGGCAGTGCAGCTGCTGGGCTGCTCTTTCTGGCAGTGAATGGCCAACAGGTGCAGCAGCCGCATACAGAACCTCAAGATCATGGTTGGAAAACCATGTCATTGGTAGAGGGGTCCTTACTCGTCTTCCTGTAGACTCTGTCATTCATTCATCTAAAGCTGAATCACATCATTTAAAGTATGCTAAACAGAGTAGGTAGCAGGTCTTCTTTTATACCATGGGGATTTGGCATTTGGCCTGTCAGAACACTTGACTCAGCCTTTGGCAGGAGTGTTATGAAAGAGACTTTGAGCAACGCAGGATGAGGTCGTTCAAGAGGCTCATACATTGTCCCATGAGCAGCTGGCAATAGGCCAGCAAGTACTGCAAAAGTAAACAGTCCATTTGTCGGTGAGATGAGCAAGATGTGGCAATGGTGGCTGATGCAATAACTGTTCCTGTGCACAGTGCTGGGGACATTTGCACATCTCCGTGTGTGCTGGGAAAGTTGGGCAGAAAGAAGGCAGCATCTGGAAGGGATACCCACTCCACAAACTCGTGGGTCCAGGATTTGTGGAACGCTCCTGAGTTGTTTCTTTGTGATGGTGTGACTCTCTAGCCCGCAAGCTCATTATGAGAGCATCATGCCTGAGTACTCAAAAGAAAAAAATTACAAGATTTGGAGAACATCTCCTGTTAGACAGCTTCGAAAGAGTTCCAGAGTCAGGGGCAGATGAGACCCTCCTCAGGTGGGGAAAAGGCAGGGGTCCATCCACACGAAGACTAGTAGAGGCCTCCTATCAAGAAATATAACTCATTCTCGCTTGCAAACATGAGACCATCTACAGTCTCTTGCCTACAAGCCTTCCCACCACCTGGCACATCAGTTTTCTATGCCTCGTACTTTTACAAGAATAATATTTCCTGGGCTTGTTTTCTGAAGTTAAAAGGTATTCTTGTTCATTGTAATTCAGAAAAACAACGACCAAAAAAAATAAATAAATAAATATAATGAAAAAAAAGTCCAGAATCTCCTCAATATCGGTAGCAATTTGCTGTCATCCCTCCCAAACTGTTTTTCTGTGCACTGATTAGGATACGCTTATCCGATCTCTTATGTTAGTTTTCACTTAAGATTTCCTAGTCAGTCACTAAGCAGTCCTGAAAAAGTAGTCCTGTAACACTTTGACATGAGGCTACACAAAAATGTTTGGCCATTCCTTTGACACCTGTTGGCTTATTTCCAGTTTTTCACAGTTGGAATAACCTGTGGGTCTGACCTTCTGATTTTTATCTTGGGATACACACTTATGAGAAAAGTTCAAGAATCAACGAATTTAAGGCTTTCTGGAAAGAGTAATTTATACTTTCCATAAACATGAACACCATCGAGTTGTATTCTATTAAAAAAAAAACTTGCAATTTGACACTTGGGGAACCGCACTTCCTTTCAATTTGTACCTCTTTGATGACTGATGTTTGAGGATGTGTGTGTGTGTGTGTGTGCGTGTGTGCGCGTGTGCACCTTTTGTGCCATTTGTCTTTGTCTGTGAACTGTCCATGTATTCACAGCTCTGCCTTAAACATAAGTCTTATGCACATGAAAATAGTCCTTAAGAAGGTCAAATTGAATCTGTAATTGTGTCCACGTGACTATAAACTTCAGCCTCGGTAAATTGTGATTTGTTCGAAAAAAGACGATTTTTTCTTTTCGGGATTCTACATCACTGAAGCTTTCCTATATGTAATAATAGAGCCGTCGACGAAAAAAAATAAGTGAGCTTCATTCAACGTGTTTACCTCTGAAAATCCTTTTCTTTCTTCCCCATCAGGTACCAGTGCCCAGCAGGCTGCCTGAATAACAAGGCAAAGATTTTTGGAACTCTCTTTTATGAAAGTGTGAGTGTGGCCAAGATTTCTTTAAATGGCTTGTGTTTGAAATGCTGTCATGTGTTGTTCAAGAAGGGTGGTGGTTTTTATGTAAGATTTTCTGTTTCCTCCTTCGTCCAACCTTGCATTTGTAGAAATGATCCACTGATCTGTGCGTATTTATGGGCTCACAAACTTGTGAGGCCACCTTTGGGTACTGGGGCCAACCCCCATGAAGATCAGTCTCCATTTTAGACGGAGCGTTAATATGCTCCAGTGCATGGGGAGAAAGGGCTGTTTGTCGCTGTTCTTAGTTTGTTAAACACCTCGGATGAGTTTTTAAGATAAGCAACCCCAGGAACAAAGACGTGTTCTAGAGAGAAGCAAGAGTCAGAGACGGCGTGAGCTTTGGCCCGACTTTTTGACTTTTTGTGGGTTGAAGACAAGCATCTTGGGTATTTCTGACAAAGATTGCTGACAGAGATAACTTCAAATGCACTTATGGTCTTCCCCCACTTCTCCCCCCAGTCGTCCAGCATATGCCGGGCTGCCATTCACTACGGGATCCTAGATGACAGAGGAGGCCTGGTGGACATCACTAGGAATGGGAAGGTCCCTTTTTTCGTCAAGTCTGAGAGAAATGGTGTGGAGTCTTTGAGGTAACTATTCCATGATCAGTGTTCCTTATAACTTCTTTTCTGGTCATAAAAATATTGTCAAAACTTCAAAAAGTACTGAACGATAATAAAGAATCAGGGAAAAAAACAGAGATGACTTTAAACCCATAACTCAGAAATCACCTCATAGGCAATTTAACACAGTTCATTCCAGTGGGCCTCTGTGTGTGTGTGTGTGCGTGCGTGCGTGTGCGTGTGCATGTGCGTGTGCGTGTGTGTGTGTGTGTGTGTGTGTGTGTATTTAATTTGGTTGGGTTTTGACTCCTGCTTTTTCTCCCTTCCTAGTCCCCAAGAACTCCTCAGACACGTCACCATTAACGGTTGGATGGTGTCTTTGCATTCGTAAGCTAATCCTGGATTAGCACTTCTTACTTCCTAAAAATGAGGCTTTTCATTTTTAAACCATTCTTACTCCTTTTGCAAAATAAGGTTCTGTAGATGCTTTTGATGAGTCAGACCATCTTCCCCATTCTGACTTTTTGGAGAACAGTAGGGAGGCCATGAGGAGCAGCAGGAGATCACGTCTTGATCTGTCTGTGGAATCAGAGGCTAAAGTGACCCAGGAGTGTGGACCCTGACAGAGGTCACGGAGTCAAACAGACCTGGCTCTGCCTCATCCTCGTGCATGACCTTGGGCCTGTTTCTTCATCCCTTCCGGGTGGCAGCACCCTCACTTGTAAATGAGGGCCACAGTCGGCCCCAGGGCTCACACCCAGCTAATCCAGAATGGGACAGCGTGTCAGGGGTTCCCCATGACAGGGCCCATTCCAAGGTCTGAGGCCAGGAAAGCACTGAGCAAATGCTCCCACAATTGTTCCAAGGCAGCATGGGAATTGTGAGGCCATTCGGAACATTTCAAAAATGACGTGAGTCAACCCCCTTTGAAAAGTCTGACTCTTCAGGTGGTGTTGGAGTATTCCCGCTTCTGTCTTAGCTAGGGACTTGGGGGTTACGTAAACAGCAACCGAAAAAAAGAGCAAGGAAGTCTCAATGAAAGCAAAGAAGATACTCGCAGAGATGTCAGTTGGATGACCTCAGCGCTGGCCACGACAAAGCTCAGCTAGCTGTCAGGCTGGGCCAGGTTCGGGTCCTGTGTTGCCTGGGACACTTGTCCTGGAGCCATTTCTGTTCTAAAGTGGGTTCTTCACATTTTGGAATTCAGAGAGTCTGCAAACATCAATGCAAAGCAAATTAAAGCTTTATTTTCACTAATGTCTAATTGAAATGTCGCATTTCCTTCCGTTACGAATGTTGGCTCCAAACCAGAGCAGCATCAGCGGGTCTGGTGACTCTCTCACTGGTAGAAATCCACTTGCTGCAGACAGCTCTGGAACTGTTACCTTAAAATGACAGTAGTCAGAAGGCCCGCCTCTAGATTCTGTTTTTAATGCATTAATAAAAAAGTGCAGCTATTACTCAAACACAAATTTGTTTTAATACTTTGTTAGTGACATTAATAATAACTGACTTCCCTTTAATCTTATAAACTTATCGTATGCATTTTTAAATCATTACTCTGAGAAGGGGTTCGTAGGCTTCATCAGGCTGCCAGAGGGGTCCTAGGCACAAAGACGTTAACGAGCCATGCTCTAGAAAGTTCTCATTCTAGATCCCGCTCTAGAATGTTCTTAGGGCTTTCAGGCTGATGGAAAACAAGTTGGATAATGTAATGTTGAGCATGTAAATAAAATAAGTACGGGAGCAAGCATGCACTTATAGAAACCATTCTGTTTGCATTTACCTAATGTTTTCTTTTACAGCAAATACAAAGCTTCCAGCTCGTTCACAGTGTCAAAAGTAAAAGGTAAGCTGGCGGTCTTTTTTTAATGTGACCATGATACACAGGTTATTTGGGTTTCCCTGGAAATTTTATTCTTCTTAGTTGTCGACTTAATGTTTATCATGCCTGTTAACATTGCTGTTCTCAGCATTGTAAAGGCTTTTTCAAGAGTTTCCTGAGGAGGTTGGTTCTTTAACTAGTTTCTAAATGTATCTGAACTTGGCATTGGCCCTAGAGTGCTGAACCAGAAACACTGGCCTAGGGTTCCAGCTGAATGTCACAGAAATAGCAGCTCCTGGGTCTCGAGAGTAGCTAATAAGTTGCATAGGGGGTGTTGATTTCTACTGATTGATAGTGGCTACCTGGAACATTGTGTTGAAAAGGAGTCTGAGGCCTCATTCTGGGCTCAGCAGAATACAGAGCTCGATAGATTAGTAATGTCTGCCAGAGATATGAGAGGGAAACATGGCGTATGTTCATGTGGCAGGGTGGGATGCATCCATGGGAGAGCATGCTATAGTCACTACCTGCCTCATGCCAAGTCCTACCTATAGCTATTTTTGTAAATAAAGTTTTATTGGGGCATAGCCATGCCCATTCATTTATGCATCATCTGTGGCTGGTTTCTGCTACAAAAGCTATTGCATATATTTGCAACGCTAATATTTCTAGGAAGCTAGAAATATTTACTCTCTGTTTCTTTAAGAAAAAGTTTGCCCAGCCCTGGATTAGCTGAGGGCATGCTGTCAGAGACCACAGGTAGCCAGCAATAGAACCGTTTTCTTACATCTGTTGTTGAAACACAACATGTGACTTTGAAGAAAAACATCACCAGTCCCCTTGGAAAGAGCTCTAGGCTGGGAAATAGAAACCTGTGTTCTCACCCATGCCCTGCGAGGTCTCAGCTTTCCTGAGCCTCAGTTTCCTCATTTGTATAATTAGAATAATACCTGCCATGAGGATCCAAGGTGATAATTAAGGGAAAGGCTTCAAAATGGAACAGCACTATGCAAATGAAAAGTATTCTTGATCCATAAAGAAACTACTGCAGGTGGTAACGCCCTTGACCAGTAAACCCACTTGGGCCATAGATTTTGTCTTATCCCTTGAATGGCCTTAGGTGAAGAGCCAGGAGCCCTGGGGCTTGACACCTGCTGGGTTCTCATCCCAGCTCTATTTGAGGACCAAGTGAACCCCTAGGACGTAGGGTCTAGCGACTCATTTTATGGACCAGTAGCCTACGGCCCAGGCTTGCCGGTGACCTGACCCTTTTCCACCATTGCTGTCCACAGTGCAGGACCTGGACTGCTACACCACTGTCGCTCAACTCTGCCCATTCGAGAAGCCGGGGACCCACTGCCCAAGGTAAGGCGCCCTGGCATCTGGTTTCCAAACACGGGGGCTGAGAGAAGAAGGTGCCGTGCCGGGCTAGGGGTCATCTGCTGCCAGTGAAGCACAGCAGAGTTCTAGCTGTGGCCCTTGGATGTGCACATGCAGGAAATCAGTCAATTCATGCTCAAAGTCAAGGGCCCACTAGACCTTCCCTGAGACCTCTGGTTCTCAACCCTGGCAGCACATTGGAGTCGCTTAAGGGGCATTAAGAGCACAAATTCCCAGGGCCCCTGCCCTGACCACTGAAATCCAAATCTCTGAGAGTGACCCCGTAGGCCACTGGCCTCTTTAGGAGCTTCCGGTGAGCCCTGTGGGGAGCCGGTCCCCAGAGTCCTGCTCTAGGGAACTTAACTGAGAAAATGACTGTGCCCCACGTGATGTCGCCTCCACTCACCAGGCAGAGTACCTGTGTTTATAGCAATGACTTCATTTGCCACCCAGCTCTTCCCGAGCCCCCTCAGACAGACCTTGAGATTTGTCATTTGATCAATCCAGAACTCCGGAAGCTGGAAGTTGCTTCTCCCCTTTAAATCAGCTCATTGATTCTTCTTCTTGATCTGCAGTATTTTCCATGGATCACTTTAGAAATAGCTTATTACGACCCAGCTCTGTGAGGTATAATTTGCACACAATAAAATTCACCCTTGATGAGTATACAGTTCAACGTGTTTTGACAAATGAGCACACTCATGCAGCCACCGCCACAATCAAGATAGCATTTCATTCACCCCAGAAAAGTCCCTTGCAGTCAGACCCTCTCCCGCCACCTCTTACCCACAACCCTGCCAACCACTGATCTATTCTCTTTCGTTCTAATTTTGCCTTTTCTAGAATTTCATATAAATGGAGCTGTCATAGTATGAAGACTTTTGTGTTGAGCTTCTTTCTCTCTGCATAATGCTTTTGAGATTCATCTGTATTGTTGGGTGTATAGGGTTTATTTTTTCCACGTTGCTGTGTGGTGTTCCATTCTGTAGATGTGCCACAATTTGTTTGTCTAAGGAGTAGGTTTTACATGCGTCTCCCCAAGCCTTCACTGGCTGAGTTTTAGAGAATGAGGCATCATAACATAAAATAAAAAGTGTCCTCATAGCATTTGTCTCTGAAGTACTCATTAGGTCCTCTCAAAAGTTGGGTGATGTAGCATCCTGTGAACCCTTATCCTGCGCCTGGAAGCTTGTGGATTCTTGAAGGGAAAGACTGACCTAAACACTAATCAGTGTGAGCAGAAAAAAAACCCTGGGAAGGTGCCAGTGACAGAGAGGAGACTGGATGGGGTCCCTGAGTCCCCCCGATTTGCTACTTGCCTTCGTCAGGAAGCTTTCTCACTGGCTCCCACCGCCACTGCCACCACCACATGCCGACCTCTCCTTGAATGTTCAAGTGACAATAACAACCTTTTAGTAGATTCCCCCAAATACTAAAGAAAAGCAGAAGAAAAAAATTTCAGCAAAAACAAACAAAAAGAAAAACGACATAGTATGAGTATCCAAAATATGAGTTTCTGACCTGCTATTCTAGAAGATGTAGGAAAGAACTGTCTTACCTACATTTTTTCTTTTGTTAAATCTCTCTCTCTCTCTCTCTCTCACACACACCGTCTTACCTACATTATTTTTCTTTTGTTAAATCTCACACACACACACACACACACACACACACGCATCTTTCTCTCCCCCGCTCTCCTGCCTCCTCCCCTCACAGGATCATTTCAACTTCTCAATCCCTTTACCTGGCTCTCTTCCCTCCCAGAATCTTGCCTGTGTTGGGGCCAAATGGCTTCCGGGCACCATTTTGGTTTCTTGGTCCCTGGGCCCCAGCCCATGGTGTACTGTTCCAAATAAAGACAAAAGACCTTTTCTTAAGTAAAGTTCATGCTTTTTCCTGGTTTGAGTCTGTCAAACCACCTGAGGTCCACCCATTTCTAGTTTGAGGCGCTCTCCTCATCCTGTGTGCGGATGGCAAGGATGTGGTGACTGACACAGCAGTGATCTAACCCCTTTTCCGCCTCAGGTTATCAGCGCCCCCTCCCTGGAATATTCTGTGACTCACTGAGGTGAGGGCCCTCCACCCTTTCCTCCCCACACAGGGAAGTTGCCTTTTAAAAAGTCTATTGATTATAATCTCCATAATGTACCCACAGTATGAACTGCCAACACCCAAGATCGGGAGGTACAACCTCTTAGAGTCCCACACTCGGTATCTATTCCCTTTCACCGTGTTTGTGTGTGTCTTTTTTTGCTTGGGGTTTTTTAAATCTATATGAACTGTTTAAGAAGAGGGAAAATATCTTCACCACTGTCAGGGTGGGAGAAGTATATTTTTTTTTTCTTAAAGACTAAACAATATGATTGTTTCCTTTCATCTAAGAACTTAAACCTTGAAATTCAAATAAAGAGGGCCAGCTGCTTCTCAAGAAGTTTTGTTTTCTGTTCATCATAAGCATCACACAAATGCCTCTTGGTTTCCAGAGTTCATTGTCCGGCACACTGCAAAGACGAGCCGTCCTACTGGGCTCCAGTGTTTGGGACCAACATCTACTCAGACGTGAGTATGCTGGCGTTTTCGGTGACTACCTCTCAAAGCCTCAGAAACCGCTTTCCAAGGTCCGGATACTGGACACTGGAGATCTCATTTCTGTGCCTCTAGCTAAATTTAGACCACTCGTTTCTGCAGCCATTGCCCTAGTTTCCCATTTATAGAGATATTGGTACTTCCGCCTGTGTGTGCTTATGAATACAGATGCGGGTGTACCTCATCTTACACAAACGTTTTCGTAGTGCGGTCAATCGAATCCCACTTCCTCGCTGCCGTGCATTTTTAATGTGAAGACTTTCATGCATCACGTGCTTCATTTCTCCAGATATCTAGTAGTTTTTTCCAGCTCTCCTGATGTGTTTATAGATACCGGCCCACTCTACTCACTGTACTTCTTTATGGCTATGTACGTATACACTTAACTAAAAGCACACAGAAGAAAATGCAAATCGCACTAATTTACTTCTTGTTAATAACCACTTTTATGACATTAGAGCCTGTCCGTCCCTATTTCCCTCCTAACTTTAGCAAAAGAGCTTTAGCCTGATTTTTCTTAAATGAATCCTCTGGAACACAGTTGAGTTCCTCTAGCTGCCCAGGGTTTAGGGACATGGTGACTCAGAAGACGTGACTATGGTCACTGCTCTGCCCAACAAGCTGTGTGATCTTCTTGCCAAGCCATTTACTTCACCGTTGAATGAGCCAGCTGGGATTTTCTAGTCCAGGGAATCTTTTAGATCTACATTTCCATGATTGGATCAGCATCCTTCATCCCCCGCTAGCATTTTTACTCCGCTTTTTCTCACTTTTATGGTTCTCTGTCACCCGCCACCATCACCTTTGCCTCCGTCTGCCTTCGTTTGTTCCAGATTACTATAAATGTGAGGACACTGAGTTCTGTGAAGTCGAAGCAGCCTCATGGCTAGCCTTTTTTCCCCATCCTTTTTCTTTCCTCTTTAAATGAGTTTTTTTTTTTTCTTCTCAAAAGCAGTTCAGCTAAAATTGAGTTCTAACAGTTTAAGGGAGGAGTAAAATAATGTATATCAATCGTTATACTAAATGTCTGAACCAAAGTCTGCTATTAAAAGACAGACTGTGTGAGAACAGCAAGGGTGACAGGCCACAGAGGGCAGTAACCCCACGGGCACCTTGGGGAGAGGGCTTTTTCTGATCTCCAAAGAAGCCACTGGCACTCATCTGAGAGACAAAAAGAAAAAGAAAGACAGAGATTTTGATTTTAAAATGACTTAAAAAATAAAGGGATGGGCCAAGTGATTCCAGCCAAATACAAAGAAACAAACAAGTTCACTTGTACTGGCAATACAATATTCTATCTGCTAAAGCAGAATTTAAAGTTAAGCTTGCTGACTAGTACAACGCAATGAATTATGCAGTGACACAAAAAGTACAATCTATGAAGATATGCAAATCAAATCTATATGCACCAAACAACATAACAGCTAAACATATAAAACAAAACCAAAAAAAAAAAAAGAGGTTAGAATGCAAGCAGAACTTGATGAAAATTCAGTAATAACATAAAGGTGTCTTTTACTGTGTTTTAGATTCTTTAAAAACACCATCTCTAGGTTTTGTTATCCCCATCTTACAGAGGAGGAAAGGGAGGCTCCAAATAACCTGCCCCCGATCACACAAGCTACTACATGACAAAGACGAGATGCCGTGAAGGGGTGTCTTGCCTTACGCTCTGTCCTTTTCCCGCTCTATTCTGCCTTGCTCGGATGTACCTGTACCCGTCATTACACTGATGTGAACAGGCACGTGAGTGAAAATCTGTGTTCAGTCTTTAACTAACTTGTTCTCTACAGTTTTGAGCCTTTGGAACCCATGGTGCTCATGACGAGGCTTGGCACGCAATGCATGTTCAATGAACATTTGTCGAAAGAAAAAATAAATGAAGATACTACAATAGTCGATGCTTAAACAGTTTTTCAGAAAGTAAAAGAAGGAGGGAAGGGAGAAAGGAAACAGAGAAGGGAGGAGGGAAGAGAGACAGCTACTTCCGTTTCAGAGGCTCTTTTCTGGCCTCGGTTTCTAGGTCACTCTGTATTCTGGGAAATGATGATGCCTTTTGGAAAATGTCTGTTTAGCTAAGAGATTTATTTTGGGAGAGTTGTCTCCAGATCTTCGAAGGGCCTAATAGCGCTGCAGTGCCTGCCTGCTCACCCGAGTGCATTACTTGGCAGGCCCCTCGCTTTGTGGTGAGCTGCAGGCCGAAGCATCAGGGTGTAGCCCCAAGAGCAAAGTCTGGGTCAGAAAATGCAAGTTGAAGTCCCATCTGTGCCATTTACCAGTTGTGAGATGGTGGACAAGCCTCTCCACCCCCTGCCGAACCTCAGTTTTCTTATCTGTCCTCCGTGCCTCTCTTGGTGGTTGGGTGAGTTCTCATACTCGCACATTCGTTAGAATCCCTCAGAGGGCTTGTTCGAACAGATTTCTGGGTCCCACCCCCAGCATTTCTGACTCAGCGAGTCTGGGGTAGAGCCAGAGAATCAGAATTTCTAACAAGTTCCCCAGTGATACTCATGCTGCTGGCCTGGGACTGCACTTCAAGTACCACTGGGCTAGAGATGACAGTCCCTTGAGAATTTTCATAAATGATGATAGTGACAGTAGTGATTACGGTGGTGATATTTGTTTTATTAACTAACATCTATTGAGTGCTTACTGTGTGCAAGCCTGCATTCAGCCCTTGATCTTACTGAATCCTCATGATAGCCCTCTTAAGCTATTACTGTTCCCTATAGAATAGTGTACAGCTTGCTGGCTCTGAGTGGCGGTCCAGACTCTGCCGTTTGCCAGCTGAGTAAGTTTGGGCAGGCTATGTGACCTCCCTGAACCTCAGCCTGCCATCTGTTGAGAGGGAATAATAATAAAATCTACCTTGTAGGGTTACTGGGAGTTACTATATCAATGCATGTGAAACTTAGAATAGGGCCTGCCTTGGTAATGCTCAAAAATGTTAGCTATGATGCTCCCCGCTTTATACTAAGAAATTAGAGATTCTGAGGGTTTAAATCATTATCCAAGGCCACAAAGGCAACAATTGGTGGAAGCAGGATTCGTTTCTAGCTACACTGAGACTAGATCTCTGCTGCTAACAATTGCTAATAAATATTCAGATATTCCTGTCACGTGGGCCCCGGAGAAGAGAAAGTGAACAACCTGTATCTTTACGGAAGTTCGATGAGAGGAGAGGCATGGGAGAAAGGAGGGGAGAAAAGGAAGGAAAAGAGTTTGCAGGACATGGGTGGGGGGTGGTTGGAGACGTATTGATAACAGACGGTACCGGGCCTATTGCGTGAGAAATATCTGGCCATGGGTGTGAGGTTTGCGTACTCCTGGTTCATGGTTTGATGTTATCACAAAAAATTCCTATGCCACTGGTATCCAGAAATTCTCCAGGGATAGGAGGCAAAGGACTGTCATAGAGGGCACAGAAGCAAAGGACACCGCCTCTTGGCAGCATTTAGTCAAGAGGATGCCGCTCCCCAGTCAGGGCCTGCAGGAAGGCGAGTTTGGGACACCAGAGGGATTAGTCCCTCCTGGAGCTCCAGCGGGAAATAGCCCCGGGCCTCACTTCTGGGAACTCCCTTAGCAGAGTGAGCAACACCCGGAAGAGGCAGAAAAAAATGTCAGTTCTGCCTGCCAGTAAAAACAGTAGGGTGCTAGTGCTCACTGACAAAGCTCACCCCACGAGCGGTGAGAACTTAGAGGAATTCTGAAATAATCGTTTCACTTCAAAAGTCTCCCGCTTCTCTTTGGGATGACTGCACATTGATTGCTTCTTAATCTTTGGGGAGCACAACAGCTTTTGAAGACCAGAAAGTTATAGATCCCTTCTCCAAGAAAAAAAGAAGGGCTCCCTGGTGCACAGAGGGTGACCAACCATCCTAGTTTGCGACTGAGCAGTTTCCCTGGGCTCAGCGCTGAACCCAGGAAGGTTCTTGCTGACCCTACTGGCTCACAGAGTTCTGCCTGTAACTTCTGGGCCTCGCAGACTCCCAGGAAGCCATTTAGGCTATGGAACTCTGTCCTCATTCGTTTATATTAAAGAAGACAAGATGTGTTGATGTGGGGTTTAAAAAAAAAAACAAAAAAAAACTGGCCTTCAATTACCCAGGTAAATCAGTCATGGAAAGCAAGAAATCCAGTTCTCCAGTCTTCAACATGAATGTACGTGTTGGCTCTGAGGCCCTCCACCTTTCCAATAGCAATATTAACAAGTGGGGAGGGGCCTTCTGCTGTGAAGCATTTTTCTCCTGATACAAAACCATTAGCTTCTCTGGAATGACCTGGGTTTTGAAGGACAAGGCAGTCGCTGACAATCTGAGGGGCGGATCCCTTGAGAGGGGAGGTTGCAGTTTCTGAGCAGGCTGCCGTTAACTTCTGGTCAGTTAACAAGCACCTGCTCCAGTAATAGTTCAGATTTTCAAAGAGCCTATTTTAATTCATTCTCTCATGTCTGGTGTTAGGAAAGGGCTAGATAGGTTGCTTGTCCCATTCAAAAGGCAGTTCGGGAGACATCTTCCAAACGCAGATGGGCCAGGGACAGTGGCGAGGATGGGGGGACAAAGGAACTCGGGGACAGAGGCCGGACTGAGCACCCTCTGGGTGCACAGATGACCTCTAGAAAACATTCTCCTCCGGGTTAGGGGATTAGCGTTCTCTCTCCTTCTCTTCCTCTCTCTTTATCTCTTTCTCTAATTGTGGTAAAATACGTATAATATAAAAGTTTCCCTCTTAACCAGGTTTAAATGTACTGTTTGGTAGTGTTGAGTATATTCACGTTACTGGGTAACAGATCTCCAGTTTTTCATCTTGCAAATCCGAAACTGAACAGCGACTCCTCATTCCCCCTCCCCCAGCCCCTGGGAACTGCCATTCTGCTTTCTGTTTCTGTGAAGTTGACGCCTTTTTAAACCTGTGTAAGTAGAATCATACAGGATTTGTCTTCTTCACTTTCTTGCTCTTTTCGTGAAAGAGATGCTGGCTTCGTTAACCAGTGGTTGGAAGCTTAGTCACTCCACAGGTGGCTACTGGGTCCCAGGTACTGTGCAGCGGGGTAGGCATGGAGAGAAAGCCCAGACCCGCCCTCCTGCTGAGTGACCTGCTGCCTCGGTGGTGTTTAAGTTTTCCAACTCAGGACATGATTAGAAGAGGCCTGTGTCCCCCACTTCTTGTACCACACAGGGATGGCATAAAGCACAACCAGACCCTGTTCACCCTGTCCACCCTTGACACACATGGAGTCCAGAGGCTAAGCCCTCTGCGATGGCCGCAGCCACAAGTCACTAGGTCGTGAGTGAGGCAGAACTGCAGTTAGTCTTCCTGCCCTGTAGATATCGGGTCTGGCTTTTTATCTTTAAGTTGGTTAGTTGCCGAGCTGAACTGAGCGGCTGACTCCATCAGTCCGGTTGAGCATGTCACCAGATGTCACTGGGGCCATTCTATGAGTAACTCTATTTTCTATACATAGGTATCCCCCACTTTCCAAAAGTTCACATAATGTGAACTTTCGGAAAGCTGGATATACTCTTCACTTTCTGCCATTTCAACTATGGGGGGTTTCATAGGAACCCTCTACCTTCAGATAGACAGGGGAAACTTGTAATTGGAAGTCATCAAGCTCAAGGGACCTAATAAATGGGACATTTTTGTTGTAAGAAGCAGTATCAGTTGCTGTAAGAAATGACCACAAACTTAGTGGCCTAAAACAGCACAAATTTATTCTCTAATGGTTCTGGGGGTCAGAAGTCCAACACAGGTCTCACTGGGCTAATATCAAGGTATCCTTCTGGAGGCTCCAGGGGAAAATCAATTTTCTTGTTTTTTCTAGCTTCTAGAGCTGCCCCTACGTTTTGACTTGCGGCCCCTCCCCAGCTCTGTAAAGCCAGCCCTGGCCGGCCAGGTCCTTCTCGTGCTGCCTCTCTCTGCCTCTCACCTCCCTCTTGTAAGGCCCCTTGTGATTCCACTGGGGCCACCCGGATCATCCAGGACACTCGCATCTCAAGGTCTCCTTAACTTAGTCACAACTGCAAAGTTTTCTTTGTTTATGTTTTTGTTTTTGTGTTTTTGTTTTTTTGCCACATGAGGTCACATAGTCACAGGTTTCTCGGGATTAGGACATGGGTGTTTTGGGGGCCATTATTCTACTGATCATAGAAGCACAAACTTCACACTCAGCCAGACCTCAGTTGGAATCTCTACTAAACCATTAACTGTCTTTATGTTTGGCAAAATTATCGAATCTTGCTAAACCCATGCTTTCTGACCTGTAAAATGGGAATAACAGTAGTTGCTCATCTCAGTGGAAGATTAAATAACAAGCAAAAGGCCATCAGCCCGGGGCCTGGTATTTAACATGTTCAGTGTCAGCGTTAGCTCTGTTTACCTTGAAGGAGGCCGTTCACCCCACAAATGGGTTAACTCAGCCCATCCGCGCAGCTCTGGCTGCACCTGACAATTTCCCGATGAGTGTTTAAAGTACTGAATCTTGGGCTTCACCCCAGAGCAGCTGAATCTGGTGGGAGCGGGAGGGGTTGGGAGTCTGGGCCTGTCATCGTGATCCGATGCTGTGGGTGGCTCTGAATTGCTGCGAGGACCGAGATCACTGCCAAGGCCATTGTCAGATTTTAGCACAGGCCAGATGAAAGGATCACAGAAGAGGCAGGAGGGTGTTACCTACCTGGTTCTTAACCTTGAGTATGCGTCAGAATCACTCGGCCCTCATCTGGGGAGATTCTGAATCTGTGGGTCAGGGTGAGGCCCAGGCGCTGGCATCTTTTAGCAAGTACCAGCCAGTCCACCCTGAATGAACTGGATTCATTACTCCCAGACAACCCGATCCGAGGACCATTTTTCTATTGGATAAGTTAAGGCCCTAATGAAAGTTTAACTCAAGGGTTTTATTATGCAGGGACTGGACTACGTGTTGACTTTAGAAAACAACACACCTTGACCCTGCTTGAAACCCAACAGCTCCCTTGGCACCTAGAGTAAACCCAGACTCCCACTGTGGTCCTCACAGGCCCACCCGATTGGCCTCTGCCCACCTCTCACCTCTCTCATCACGTTTTGCCTGACTCACTATATTCCACCCACCCAAGGCCTTTTTCTGTTCTTTAGACAGGACCCCAGGGCCTTAGCTCCACCTGCTCCCTCTGCCTCAGATGCTGTGCCCAGAGAGATTCCCACGGCTATGGCCAGTGCCTTTTTGTCACTCAGATCTAAGCTCGAAGGTCATAGCAGGCGCAGTCTTCCTTGATTAACTGTTCTATAATTGTCCCCCTCCTGGTCATTTTATCTCATGATCTGGTTTTATTTTCTTCATAGCTCGAGTTACTTGTTTGTGTGTTTGTTTACTTGTCTCCCTCTATTCTATGAAGGCAGGGTCTTTATTTGGTTTTCTGAGGAATCACCCCGCATCTAGGACAGAACCTGGCCATAGTAGAGGCTCAGAAAATATTTGTCAAGCAAATGAACAAAGGAATGAATGAATGATGCCAGGTCTCTCTGGAAAGACCACTGAAGAATCAAGGTGGTGACAGTCATTGCTTTGGGGTTGACATGGCCCGCACTCCACCAACCAGGCCGCCGAGTAATGGTTGATCCCCAGCGGGGCGTCACCCGTGAGCCCATCCTCCTTGATGGTGATCACTGCTCTTCCTGTGCTTTCAGACTTCAAGCATCTGTAAGACAGCCGTGCACGCAGGAGTCATCAGGAATGAAAGTGGGGGCTACGTGGACGTGATGCCTGTTGATAAAAAGAAGACGTACGTGGGCTCGCTCAGGAATGGGGTCCAGTCTGAAAGGTAGGGATGCATTCTCCGACTCTCAACACCCAAAGCCAGCGGGGGTGGTCCCTGGGGGTCCTGGCAGGAGAGCCTAAGACAGTGCCTTTAAAATAAACTTGGGCAGACTTGCATTAATTCTTACCAGAACACCCAGGACAAGCCTGTTCACGTCTCTTTCTTTCTTTTTTCAAAATAAGAACTTTTTTCTTTCTATTACCAATGCATAATTTTGTAGAAAATTTAGAAACCTCAGATGAGCCCACAGAGAAAAAATTGTTCAAAACCTGTCAACAGGGGGAGTAACTGTTAGATTTTTGGTGCATATCCCTCTGGTCCTGTGTGTGTGCATTTCCCCGCCCCCCCCCCACCAACACACACACACAAAACAATGGGATCAAATTATAATTACATAGTCATTATATATGGCTGCATAATAACATAGTAACATAGAGTCTAGAGTCCAACAGACCTAGGCTCTGCATCTTACCAGCTTCATGACCTTGAGCTCACCGCCTAATTTCTTTGCGTCTCGGTTTTCTCACCTGTGATATGGGAATAACAGCAGTCTCTACTTCCTTGTCGGAAGGATTCATTGAGATGATGCCCAGTTCTTTCTAGAAGGACATCAGTCATGTAGGATAGGAGCCCACCCTAAGGACCTCGTTTTAATTTAATTACCTCTTTAGAGGCCCAATCTCCAAGTACAGTCACATTCTGAGGCTACTGGGGGTTGGGACTTCAATCTGTGAATTTGGAGGGGGGACACGGTTTAGTCCATAACAGAGAGGAATGCTGAAGACTTTAAATATAAGGGGCCCTCTTTAGAAAAGAAATATAAAGTCAAGAACGCAAATGTGCCAAGGACTTTGAAGTTTAAGCTTTCATGGCTCCACAGAGCTTGGCACCTGGCTCCATCCTCCCATCTCCCTGGGACGCTTTTGAGCCTCAGGATGGTGCTATATGTGAAGACAATGCGGAATCAAGTCACTGAATCACACACAGTTCTTCCCAAGGATCCCTGCACGGTCACTGCCATCAGCCCCAAACAGCTAGAGTTAACAGCTTTTGCAATTTCTCCCTCAACATTTGCAACCTTTGTTTGGGAAAAGCTTAATGAAGGGAAATTCCATTGATTTAATGGGAGGGAAATGAAGCAGCTGATGAGGTGGAATTTCCTGGCCACGCTGGAAAGAAATCCCAAGACACCAATCCGTTGTGCTCTTTGGACCCCTTTAAGAGAAACAGTTGTTCTGAGATGCCGGCAGGTCTGCCTTTGTTCTCTGCTTGTATTATCCTTGAGGACGTCACAGCAGTTCCCCGAGGGCTGTGACGAGGGCTTACTGTGTGGGCCCAAAAGTGGGAGTCTGGGGAGGGCAGGGGACCAAGAAGGGGTCCCAGAATTGACATTTTCCCCTACTGTCATCCCCTTCACTCCTCCACTCTGGGGAGGCCCGTCGTTCTTTCCCTCTTCCGAGGGACCCCCCTGAATTGCCACTGTCATCATGAGTATCTTCCAGGCAGCCTTTCCCAGGCCCAAAGTGGCTGACGCCCACTGCACTATTAATCAGCCAGCTCCTGCCCCCTGAGTGGTGGTAAGTGGGGCTCGGTGTCTCAGAGTGGGCTCCCTAGGAAAGCAGATTCTCAGGCTCACCTCCGACCTGCTGAATCAGAAATTCTGGGAGTGGGCTCAGCAGGCTGTGAGTGTGACATGCCTCCCCGGGGTCCTGAAGCACACTGGAGGATGACAACTGCTCCTGTAAGGATGATGGAAGGTGACCGTCCCTCTGGCATATGCAGTCAGCACTATACATGATTCTGATATTTTGCCATTAAGAGTCATTCCCTTACTACATACTCACGGTGTACCAGGACCTGCTGGGCTCCATGGCACCAAGATGACAGAGTCCACCCTGCACATACAGAGGGAAGAAGCTAGGCCTGGAGGGCATGTAGGGTCTGATGGCATTTGGGACCTTGCTGCACTGTGTGTCCTTGGGTAGGCAGTCTCCCTGAGCCTGAGTGCCTCCTCCGTCAGATGGCTGCCAGGAGGATGAAATGGGACAGTGTGTGCCAGGTGCTTACTGGTGGTTCATAGTAAGTGTCCGATGAATCCTGTGGCCCTTGTAGCTGTGACATAACTTCTGAGGTCAAACCTCAGGACACTCTGGCTCTTTTCACATAGGGTCATAATACTATAAGAAATAGCCTACATAGATTATCTTTGAGAACAAGGAGGAAAGCCTCTTGTAGGAATTCGTTCTTTCCTCCTTGTCTCTATCCTTCCAACACGCTCTCACCTATCAGATGTCTTACACTTGGTGAGCCCCTAAGATGTCCCAGGCACTGGGACCCAGCAGGGTACACATGGCCTGACCTCTGCCCTTGTGGGACTTGTCATCTAGTAGGGGGACAGATGATGCAGAAACAAGGACTTTTTAGTAGAAAAGCACAGGGAGGGAGGTGCAGGGAGCTGAGCACAACAAGCAAGACACCTTCGTACTGTTCAGAGGCACCTCCTGGTGACATGGCTCCAGCAGATATACGGACATCTCTGGCGTGGCCATGCCCCGACCTCTCGTTGTTTAGATAGGACCTCAGCAACCCTCTACACGGAGCCCAGGGCTAAGAAATTTCCCCGGAGCCTGTTCCCATCAGGAATTGTGAGAACCGACATGGGGCTGCAGGGTAGCACTGTCCCCAACATCTGCTGGGACCCTGGAGTGGTCACAGTTGGTCCCAAGGAAGATGTGGGCACTGGCCATACTGTAACTCGTTCACAGCAAAATATGTTCTAAATTTACGGAATCCTTCAATCAATCAAACAAACCAACAAAACTCTTCTGAACAGAGCTCTCAGCACGGGGGCCGAAAGTTGGTTCTGCTTCAAAGAGGCAGTGGTTTAGCAATGACCTTTTTCTAGAAGAGGATTTCCTGAACGTTTTGAAAGGTGGCCGTGCAGAATTGGGACAACATGAGAAGACAGGCACCTTCTCTCTCACACACATGCCACAAAGGATAGCAGAAGAAGAAAAAAGTGTCAGGAAGAGCTTTTGATGTTGGGATTGGGGTTTGTCTGAATATTCTCAGGAAGAAGCTGGACATCTGGATGAATATCAGTTCAGGATTTTTTCTTAGACCAAAACCATTTTTCAAAACCTATTTCACAAGAAGATTGGGAAATATGCCAACAATGACATCGACAATTCTTTGGTCCCTTCTGGGTCACCCTGCTCCTGGAACTGCCAGCTGTCTTTTTTTTTTTAAATCCAGTCTGTGTTATGTGGTACTAAATGGTGACCACTTCCTCCCTGAGTAATTTTCACCGGCAAGGGTGAACCTCCAGGACACAGTCATATCTTTGCAGCTTCTCGTGGACCTGCAGGCACCTGCCTCCTGCGGGGCTCCTAGCATCTGAGCCCCCCATTGCAATCTAGGGTTAGCCAATATCATCTTTGAGGATGGCATGGCCACAGCCCATTCATTTAGGATAATGATTAGAAAGGGGTCCCAGAGTCTTGACAGACTTGGGTCCACATCCCAGCTATACCTGAAACAGGTATTTCATTTGGGACAAATTGTATCACTGCTCAGAGCTTTGGTTCCTTTCTGTAAGTGAGAAGAACTCGAGAGATCTCGTGGGGTTACTGCAAGGAATGGATGGGTAAGATGATGTCTTAAAAAATCGAGGCAGCATCTGTCGTGTAGTATGTGCGTGTGTTTGGCAGAGCTCCTGGCACAGAGGAGCGTTAGCCCCAGGAGCAGGCAAGTGGCTGGGAATCCTTAACCAGGACAGAGATGGTGACATCATCTGAGACTACAGTCATGACATATCCCAGAGCACCTTTGTCACAGCTCATCAAGTAGATCAGTGGTTCCTCATGAGCTGAGTCAGCTGAAGGGAACTTCCCAGAATCTTCTCAGACTAATTCAGGTTCTTCCCCAGTTCTACAGGGAATTTTTGCATGGGTTTTCTCTTTATTTCTTCCTTCCTTCCTTCCTTCCTTCCTTCCTTCCTTCCTTCCTTCCTTCCTTCCTTTCTTTCTTTCTTTCTTTCTTTTCCTCTCCTCTCCTCTCGTCTCCTCCCCTCTTTCCTCTCCTCCCCTCTCCCTCCTCTCCCTTTCTTCCTTTCTTTTCCCCTTCTTTTGAAAATAAGATTACAGAAACTTTAGGAAATAGTGAAACTGATTTTAAGAAATTACTATCACTAAAATTTCACACCCAGAAAGGACCACTATACACTATGCGATTCTCTCCAGATTTTTCCTGTTTACACATGAACACCTTATTTTTTATGTTTTTATAACAGTGGGATCATACTATCTGCATCGTTCTATTACTTATCTCTTTTTGGTCAGCAGTGGGCTGCAAAGGTCTTTCCTAGTCAGTCCAATGTAGCTGCGCCATCATCTCGGTGGCAGCACGCTGTTCCCTGTGTGGCGAGCCCATCATTTCTTTACCCAGCTGATGGACATCTGTGTTGTTTCCTTTTTTCTTTTACTGTAATAAACAACACTGCAACGAACATCTTTGCACAAGCCCGTGTACTTTCCTGACACCCTTTTTTTAGGTAACTTCCTCTTAGTAGAATAGCCGAAGCTGCCAAATCGATCTCTTTATGTAATGCACAGTGTGACTCTCTCCTGTTTAAACCCTGCCCCCAGTGGCCTTCCATTGCCCTAAGAAGAAGATCCCCTCACCTTTCAATGCAAGGTCACCCCTGATCCAACACTGCCCGCTTTTCCGCCCTCTCTTGGTACCGCCCCTCCTCATTATAGACTTCTCTGTGTTCCTTGAACAAGCCAAGATCATTCTCACCTCAGGGCCTTTGCACCTACTTTATCTGACCCTGGACCCTCCCAGCTCCTATATATTCCTGTGGCTTGGTCCCCCTTGTCATTCAGACCTACACACAAATGCCACCTCTCTGAGGAAGCAAGCATTCTCCTACTGTTGAGTCCGCAGTTGCCCTCCTCCTCTTCCCAGACCTGGTCTGATCCCATTGCCCCAGATTTTATTTTCCTCCGAGGAACCACCACTCTCTGAAATTATTGCTTATACATATTTATCTGTTTATCTCCCACCCCCAGACTATAAGCTAAAGAAGGCAAGACTCCCATCAGTTTTGGTAACCGCATGTCCCTAACACCCAACCCAGTGCCTGGCACATAGTAGGTGCTCAGTAAACATGGGCTGAATGACAGATTGTTGAGTTCGGCCATTTGTTCAGAACAGGTTGAGGGATTTTTAAGACCCTTTATGAAAATTGCCCAGAAATGCTGTGCCAATTTCCACTCCCTTTGTACATATGTGGGAGTTATAAGCTAACCCGAAAACGGAATCAGAGGGCAAGATTTAGAAAAGTAGGTTATTTTCTAATTTACCAAATTCACACTCATTTTTCATCAAACATGCACAACTGCCAACTTACACAGTAGAACTGGTGCTTAGTAAATGCTCAGGATGTGAACAAATGGGGACCCGCCAAAGGCTTTTTGAGCAACCCAGACCTGGAACTGACATCTGGTGCTATCGCATCAACACGCTCAGTGTCATCAGCACACTGTCTGGCGTGTTAAGAAGCACATACTGAGTCCAGTGAGCCTGCTCTTGCCTCCAGGGTGGACAAGTTGTTCAGTGGGGGTGCTTGGTAGGTCCAGGCAAGATGTCCAGGTACCTTGGGGTACCTATGGGCACAATAGCCTGAACAGCCTCCTGTCCCTGGGAGAACCCACTGCCCCATCCATAGAATTTCCAGCAGTAAGTCAGAAGAGACATAAACCCTGGTAATTTTCCCCAGTGTGGCTTGCCCACCACACGGAAGAGCCAAGTGCCTTGCGGCTCTGGGTGGTTCTCCCAGACTATTCATTTGGGCAGAGAATCCAGGGAAACCTTGCAGCCCAGAGGCCTGAGGAAGGCTCTGGAATCGGAGCCTCCCGGAAACCAGCAGGGCAGCCGGGGTAACCCCAGCCCCTGCACGGCCGCTTTCTTCCTCCATGCGGTCCAGTGGGGACAGCTGGCATGGAGACCACCTCGGCTGAGCATTCTGCTCCGTCTGGGCTCTTGGCTTTTCCTCACAGCCCCATCTCGCCAAGGGCTCCTATGTGATCCATGTTTCAAAAGTTCGATCGCAGGGTAGCCAAAAGCATGTAGCTGTCATGGGAAAATAGGGGAAAAAATAGGAATTCCCAGCAGCCTGTTCCCTGAGGATTGCTCGCCTTACTAAGCAGTCTGAGAGGGCAAAGGCCATATGTCTAGTCCAGCAGTTTTCAGTCTGGGTCCCTCTCGTCTGGAGGAGGGACTCGAAGGAGATCACGCTGAAATCATGGCTGGGTTGTTCCTCTGATGCTTAACCTCATTCATAATGAGTGAAATGCATGTTAAAACTATATTTGGATGCCATTCCCTTGTTTAGATTGGCTGAGACATAAAGCTAAAAGACAAAGAGCTAAATGACATGCTGTGCTGGCAAGCATGAGGGTTAAACAGGCTGCTTCATGCACGGTTGACGGAGTTGTCAATTGGCACAACTTTTATGGAGGGCAATTTGGCAAGCTGGCCAAATGACAAATGCGCACACATCCTTTGATGCAGCAATTCCGCCCCTAGGAGCTTGTCCACAGGCACTCTCATGCATATGCAAAAAGTCAGGGACAAAGTTGTTCTCTGTAGCAGCATAGTTTGCAAAAGCAAAAGATTAGAAACAACTAAATATCTATTTAAAAGGACCAGTTAGCTATATTATAATACTTTAAGAAAAAGGACTACTATGCAGTTGCATAAAAAGCATAAAAAAGCTCTCTATGTACAGAAAGCCACTAACAATGGCTGTAAGACAGACAATAACAAACGTTAGTCCCACTGGGACCCCTCGTGCATTGCTGGTGGGAATATAAAATGGTGTAGCCGCTGTGCAAAACATCGTGGTGGTTTTTTAAAAAGTTGGACATGCAATTAACATACAATCCAGCAATTCTGCTCCTAGGTATCCACCTCAAAGAATTGAAAACGTAGGTCTACACAAACACTTGTGCACAAATGTTCATGGCAGCATTATTTACAATAGTCAAAAGTGGAAAGACTCTAACTGTCCATCAGCTGTGGAATAGATAAATGAAATGTGGTCCATCCACATAATGGAATATTACTGGCAATAAAAAGGAATGAAGTACTGACTGATGCTACAACATGGATGAACCTTAAAAACAACATGCTAAGAGAAAGAAACCAGTCGTAAAAGGCCACCTACATCGTATGATTCCATTTATATGGAATGTCCAGAACTGACCAATCCATAGAGAAAGAAGTTGCCAGAGCCTGGGAAGAGGGGGAATCTATTATAAATGGTCATGAAAGCACTTTGGGGTTGATTATAATGATCTGTAATTGGATTGTGGAGACTATTGCACAGTTCTATAAATCGGTAAAAATCATTGAATTGAACCTTTAAAAAGGGTAAATTTCATGGCTCTTTCTACTTCAATAAAGCTGTTAAAAAAAAAAAAAGAAAAACACTCTTTGGTAAGCTGAAAGAATTCATTCCTATCATGAGAGGATAGTTTTTACTAGCTGTGTGACCTTGGGTAAGTCACTTGATTTCTCCTTACCTCTGTTTCCTCACTTGCAAACTAGGGATACTAATGACACCTACCCGAGGAAGAAGGCAAAGAGTGTATACAGAGTACTCTGCACAGTGCTCAGTGCAAAATCTGAACACAATTGGTGTGCCATTTCAATAACATCAACACATGCTTTATTGTCATAATACCAGCCTATTAATCTGTCAACCAGATGGCTGCTATTTTGGTTGACAGGTGGCAGCAAAATCCAGGCAGAAGTCTCAGGGAGTGAGTTCAATTCAGACAGACTGGGGCCAATAAATCCCAGAGTTAAAAGAAAATAACTTAACAACCCTGACCTAGATTCAGACCCAGGCCCTTTTGCAAAGAGAATGGAATTTGCCAGCTGTACCTGGCTGGGGCAGACTGTTTCCAGCAGCTGTGGGGAAGGAAGTGTCCCTTGGCCATGGTCCTTCCACCACTGGGACATGAGGGGCACTCTGCTCCCCCTTCCCAGCTCGAGTCCCTACAGAAAGTCCTCCCTCTATAGATAACATGCCTTCTCCCTTCTTTTTCAGCTTGAAGACCCCTCAAGATGGAAAGGCCTTCCGGATCTTCGCTGTCAGGCAGTGAACTTCTGGTGCTGGGGAGCAGGGGGGTCTTCTAGAAAAGGCTTCGGGTTCTTGCTTTTTATTTTTATTTTATCCTTTTGGGGTGGGTGGGGATATGGAGAGGCAGGAAACTTCCTTGGAGCGATTTTCAGTGTCACATCCTTCATGCCTTTGTTTCCTCTCGGTACCGTGGAGAAACAGCATCCTGGCGGGACGCCCGGTGGGTCCTGCCGCAGCCCGGGGGTCTCCATCTGGATGCCCTCTCTATACGGGCAGTCACACGAGATGGTTCTTCTCATGTGTTCTTTTGAGTGGGGTGGAGAGAGGTTTCCAAAACCCGCGGAGAGAGCACAGGATTTGGCACTCACGGGGCGAGGCGTTCAGGGGCGTGGGAAGAGGCATTCTGAGCATGTGCAGGGGGAGTTTCAGGAATGGGGTAGAAGGTAGTTATTTAAAAAATTAAAAAACACTGTCCGTCCCTACCAATGGAGAAAAATGGGTTTAATGTTTGCTGGTCAGACAAATGGGCCGGAACAGGGGGCTGGGGAAGTGAGACTCAGGCTCTTCCCTGGCAACCCTCCTTGCGAGCGTCCTGCCACGAGCAGGCTGGTTCTCTATACAGCAGTGCTGGTTTATTTAGAGTTCACCAGTAACTCCAGAGATTTATCTTGTTTTTGTCCTTTCCTTCGTCCACGCGGCCCGTCTGTTTGCTGCCGTGACCTTTGGTCTCGTTGAAGACTAATGAACCAGGTTCCTTACTTCACCCCCTACCCACTGTGGCTCACGCGCCCGCCAGACTAGTTTACATGTCATACTTCACACCAGGGTCTTTGCTTTTGCAAGCAATTCTGTGCGAAGCCCACTTTTTTTTTAAACTCCTAGTCTCTGTTGGTTCCACTGAGACGTCTATGAACAGCCGAAGAAGGGCTATTTGGTTGCCGCTTTTTAAAAATGACCATTAAACGTGCAGATTCCTCTTTCGTCGGATGACCTATTTTTTTAGCAGTGGGAGGAACGGATTCCTTAGTACCTTCCTCGCCGAGGTTAGCAGCTCTGCGGAGAGGAACAGTCTGTGGTTATGAAACCGTCCTGCGGCATAATAACAACAAGAGAGGGTAACACTCTAGAAGGATTTCTCTTCCTGTTTTTGTGGAACAGCTCTTGCCAAATGTTCCTGAGGCTCCGAGGAGTGTGGTGCTCTCTGGCTTCCATCACTTTATAAAAGTTCTTCATAAGCCCAGACCAAAAACCCACAGTGAAATAAAATACCCTTTTGTAAATAGCGTCTCTTTACAGAAGGTAAAATTCCACCCTCCAGCACCGGGCTGGCCAATGCATCACTTTTGTGAATGCCAGTTACAAATCTGATTTCGCTCTCCATCGAAATATTTCAAAGGCAAAGGAATCAGCAGAAAAAGAAAAAGTGGTGCATTGTTGAGTGCCTTCCTAATTAATGCAAAAAAATGAAGGTAAATAGCTTCTCCTCTCCTCCCTTTAGGGAGTTCGTATAAACAATGAAGCTCTTAGCTTAACGGAGCTGAAATTAGCAGGACTATGTTTTTTCTGTGTGCATTGTGGGCTTGTAGTAATTCATAGGTTCTGACTATTCAACCCCAAATGTCAGAGTGAAAGAATTTGGTCAGCCTGTCAGATATTGTGTCTGGTTACCACCAAAGATCTGAGTACTTGGAAACTTCTGGATACTACGAGTTGTACTGCTGGACTTCGGCTTGTCACCAGCCTTTTGTGGCTGCGACTGTGGCTATGGCGAGCCTGCCAGGTTGGGCTTTTAAAACTAGTGACAGTCCAGGAGACTTTCAGTGGGTTTGCTTTTGAAGCCTCTTGCCCGAGGCAGAATCTGAAGCTTTCGGAGTGAGTCGACCCCATCATTTTAAGTTAAGTTCCCAGGTTCCTGAACACTTCATAAAGCGAACCCATCGAACAGCATAGAAAGTCCTCGCCCCCAGCCAGATCCTGTGCCCTTTTCATTCTCATGAACATTTTGAAACTGGAACCATTTTTCTTCTGAAAATGGAAACTAAGACTAGAAATTATTAGCCCTTGTAATCAGGGACCACCTCTGATTTTATGTTTAACAGGGTCCATTGTGCCATTAGCACTTAATCCATAAAAAGATGGTAAATCAGCCCAACGGTGTTTCTAGATCTCCTGCCCCCAAAATGAAAAGTTTCGATTTCCTTCAGATTTTTGTCCCATCGTGTCCTGAGATTTCATATTGTCTGTAGGCTCACTCAGCCCGCAGCTTATGTGTGTGCTTTTTTTCTATGAAAAATGATGTATTTACTACTTCCTATGTACAAACGTTTACTGTAAAAAAAAATTTTGTGCTTTGCATGAACAGGGACCACATTGCTGTTGTTTCAATAAAACTGGTTTGATTTCTAAAACATTTCTATGACATGTATTTTATGGACAAATCCGAACAGTTTGTGAAATAAACCATTTAAAAGCTCCTCTCAGGCTGTTTGCTATTTTGTTTACGCCAATTCTACGAGAATGGAGTAGCACACGGGCACAGAGCTGCTAATTACTGTGGTATTTTCGGAGCCTTGAGGAGCCTGATAAATAGGAAGTGATGTCACTTTAAAGTGTGCGAATCATGTGGGGGGTGGCGGGCACCTGTCAAAATGCAGATTCAGGTCCAGCAGGTCTGGGGGGTGGCCTGAGAGTCTACATTTCTCAGGAGCTCCCAGTGACACTGCTGGTCCCCACATCACACTCTGAGTGGTGAGTGGTCACAGGCTCAACTTCATTCTGTCACTATCTTAGTCAGCTTGAGCTGCCATAACAAAATACTACAGACCCAGGTGCTTAAATGACAGAATTTTATTTCTCCCAGTTCTGGAGATCGAAATGCCAAGATCAAGGTGCCAGCACGGCTGGGTTCTCCTGAGGCCTCTCTCCTTGGCTGGTAGATGGCCACCTTCTCTGCGTGTCCTTTTCTCTGTGCATGAGTTCCTACTGTCTCTGCGTCTTACAAGGACACCGGTCCTAATGGATCAGGGCCCCACCCGTATGACCCCATTTAATCTTAATTACCTTCTTAACGGCCCCATCTGCAAATTCAGTCACATTAAGGATTAGGGCCTCAACATAAGAATTTGGGGAAAGGAGACACAATTCAGTGCATAACAGTCATCTTCTTCCCAGGCATCAGCCCCTTCTCATCTGAGTGCAGTCACGTGTCCCCATGTGTCCACGAGCGATTTCAGGGGCACCCGGCTGACGTTTTTCATCTCACCATCAATCCTTCTGCCTTTGCTTTCATTGTCCCTCTATTTATGACGAGTGCTGCTATTTTCCATTGATAGTGGGGATGGCCTTCCTCTCGAATAAAAATGGCTAAGGAGTTTTAGATGGTAATTTTAAAATATTAAGTAAGCAATTGTGCAGATGGATTGCCAAAATCACGGAGAATGGATAATGACTGATGTTTGGGAAACACTGGTTTCTGACAAAAGCATTGTCAAGTCCATAGAAAGGCCACACCCCGTCCTGCTGGCCTGCACTGGCAACTACCCCGGGGCACTGGGGAGCCTCCCTTCTCGGCCTTCCCACCTCAGAATCTGCAGACTTCCTCAACCTCCTCATGTTCTGATATTGCAGGATGCCACCATCCTGTGCCCCAGCTTCTTGTCCCCAAACCTCCAGCATGTGAAATTTGTGGTGGCTGCTGGGGGAGGCTGTGGTGAGAAGGGGGACTGGTGCTTCCTTTTTGCAGAATTCGTCTGAGATGAGGCAAAGATCTGCGAGACTTGTGTAACTTCAGGTCGAATGCTGTGGTCCCTTGACAGAAGGTGCTCCAACACAAGGTGACACAGGGACAGAGAGCATGGACCCGAGAGTCCCTTTACCAGCTGCAGGACCTCGAACAAGTCACTTTGCCTCTTTGAGCCCCAGGTGCTCATCTATAAAATGGAAATTTATCACAGCCACCTCATAACTGTGTAAAGATTAATTTCAGTGAGCTACAGATAAAAAAAAAAAACCAAAAAGTTTTCAAAGAGAGTGACCTGACCAGGAAATGGTAACTATTTGCACTGGTCGGAATGCTTTTTGGCTGAAGATAACAGAAACTCCATCTAATGGCCCCAGGACTTCTTAGAAATGCAGATTCTCAGGCCCCAGCCCAGACTCACCGAGTCAGAACCTCTAGGGGTGGCCCAGCACCCTGTGTGTTAACAAGCCTCTGGCGGGATTCGAGTGCTTGTTTCAGTGAGAGAATCGTCACTGTAAAGACATCCAGATGTCTCAAGGAAGAAGTCAGAGAGACATGTTTCAGGGGCATCGGCTCAGTGATGTCAGGACACCTGGTCAACATGCCTACAAACCTCTCCCCGCTCCTCTGTGGCCACAGTAGCACCACACCACAAGCTGTCCCCACACTGAGTGTGGGACAGGAAGAAGGATGGGAGTGGAAGAACCTTCTTCCCACGGTGTTCTTTCTTTCATCAGGGAAAAAAAATCTTTTCTGGAGTCGCCCAGTGGGCCTGTCTTTAAGTCTCTTTCATCATAACCTGGCCACACGTCCATTCCCAGATCGATCACAAGCGATTGTTGAAAGAACAGCAAGGTTTAGAGTGCAGAGAGGAAGACCAGGGGCCATGAGAGCTGTTTTTAAATACATAACGATTCGTTCTCGTAGCAGGTGGCATGATGTAAGGGTTAAGAGCTGGGACTCAGACATGCCTGAGTTTGAATCTCAGCTCAACTCTTTATCAGCTGTGTGACACTGGGCAAGTTGCTGAACCTCTCTGAGCACCAGCGGCCTCCTCCGTACATGGGTGATAATGATAGTGTCTACGCCGCAGGGTGGTTATGTGGAGTAAATGAGGTCAAACTCGAGACATGCTCGGCACCGGTATGCACACGCAGCTATTCTCGTTGCTTTGCAGTGTAGAACTGATGTCACTGGTGTACACACGCAGCTGCCGGGGTTATTCTCGTTGCTTTGCAGTGTAGAACTGATGTCAATGGGAGCCTGTCACAGGAAGACAGATTTCTATCAGATGCAATAAAGGACATTCTAATTGACAGAACTTTCCAGAGATGAAATGGTCCATGTGAAGAGAGAGTGAGCTCCCCATCTGTGGAAGAATACAAGCAGAAGGTGGAAGCAGAAGGTTGGACGAGATCAGCTTTAAAGCTTTCCCTCATCAGTCCTGCCTGGGAGAGCCTGGGAATCCAGGGAAGGGGTGGTGTGTAGCTATTCAATCCTGGATCCTCAAGGCATGGCAACTTCATTCTAAAAAAGAAAAAAATTACAGAACCCCTGCAGCTATGTAGGTGGTCCCTTCCAATTTTTCACACCAAGCCAAAACCTGTCCTAGACTGCTACTGGGGCTTAAAAACTCTTTTAGACCCTTAAAAAAATAAATTTGGTGCCGAAGCACAGGTTTTGAAAACCTCACGACATTCCTTTTACTCTTTCATCTTGGCCAGTTGAACTGGTAGCAACCTTCGGCCAAGAACCAGGGAGACGGGCCCTTAAACCAATTCCCTCTGTCAGCACCTGGCCTGGCTCCGAGGTGGGCAGGAGGCCTCCCAGTGTGCCCTGGCAGCCACCACACTGGACGGGAATGGGCTGGCTTGTCAGGAGGCGGGCTCCCAGCTCACCTGCTTTCACCTTTCACCAACTGTGGCTGTAGTCCCAAAGATGTTTCCTCTCCACGCCACTGTCACCAGCCTAGACACGCTGCCCCCTCCTTGCCTGACCCAGGAAGTTGGCGAAGAAATCCACCTGTGCCAAGTGCCTACTATGTGCCAGATTGAGCGCCAAGCATATGCTATGTCGTTTAATAAGCACACGTCTCTTTCTAGGATGTACTTGAAAGAGATAATAACATGTGATTACATATAATAATATTTGATTATATCTGTCAAATATAATTCAGGCGCTATTTAATTTTTGGTTGTTGTTAAAGTGTCAGTTAGAAATGTATTTGGCTGCATGTAATAGAGACTCGATCACCGTAGAAGGTAGAAGGTCCAGGGGGACAGCGCCGGGGAAGACCCAATGACCAGGTCCCTTCCCACTTCCTGCTCTGCCATCCTCCGCATGGCCTATGTCCTCATGGTTTAAAGATGATTGCTTCACCTCCAGCCTGTCACAGACGTTCTGAGAAAGAAGAGGGACGAGGGCAAGAGCAATATGGCAGCTGATTCTGTCCCTTCTATTTTGGACAATTGTATTTTTCAATTCTAGAATGTCCATTTGGTTCTTTTTCTAATTTTCTAATTCTCTGCACGGTTTCTCATTTTTTCATTTATTCTGAAGATATTTTCCTTTGTGACTTCAGCATAGATATATATCACCTTATTTCTGTGTCTGGATCATCGTGGGGTCAGTCACCATTGATTGTCTTTTCTCTTGAGGAGGAGTTGGCAAAATTTTTCCCCTCTCCACATTGGAGTTGGGTCCAGAACCCCTCAGTGCCTTATCTTATTTCTCCTTTTCAGTCCGTCACGTTTTGAACCTTTGAAATCTTCCTAATGTGACACCGTGGAGGAGCAGGAGAGGAACCTGGAGCCAGCTCTACCACTTATGATCTGGGAGACCCTGAACAGGTTTCTCGACCTTTTTGTGCCTCAGTTTCCTCATATATAAAATGGGGATAATCGTAGCAGTTATTTATAGGGTTGTTATGAGGCTCGAACAAGTAAGTATAGTTTTTTAAAAAAGCATTTGGAAGCCTGCCACATAATAAATGCTATATACGTGGTAATTGTTACAGCTACAAATACCATTATTTAACAAACGTGGTGTGCGTTCCTGGGATTTTGTTTCCTCTAAAACCCTGCCCTGGGCCTTCAGCAGCAGCCGCAGGCTGTTGGGGCTTCTCCCCCAGAGAAAGGAGACCACAGCGGAACAGCAAGAACAAAGGGATCCGTGTTAGCTTTTGAGTTTCTAAACAGACTTTTTTGTTTGTTTTTTAACTTTTTATTCCGACATAATTGTAGACTTGCAGACAAGTTGCAAGGATAGTATAAAGAAATCCCATTCATCCTTCCTTCAGATTCCCCAGACATCAACGTGTCCTGCCTTTACGTGATCATTTTCTGTCTCTCTCTTTTTTAAATCATTGAAGAGGAAGTCGCAGACATGAGATCCCCTTTATCTCTAAATACTTTAGGGTACGTTTTTCTAAGAACAAGGACATTTTCTTACTAAGGAGACATTTTCTTACATAACCTGGTATAATTATCTAAATCAGGGAGCTAACATGGATACATTAAATGATCTAAGCTACAGACCTTAATCAGATTTCACTGATTGTCCTAATAATATCTGTTACGGCAAAAGAAAATCTCAGATTATGAATCGTGTTCAGTTTTCATGTCTCTTTAGTGTCCTTGAATCCGGACAAGCTGCTCCCTTCATGTTCTTATTTTATAATGTTGACATTTTTAAGAGATTACTGGCCCAGTATTTTGTAGTATGTCCCGCAAATTGA